ACGAGGCACAGTGAGCTGGTGTGTCACCTGCTCTTTTCCAGGAGGATGGCTTTGAATCATGGGATAGTAGAGTTGGAAGGGCCAGAAGGCCTTTGGGTCCAACCCTCTGCTCAAGGTGGGGCTCCCTGTTGAGCCATCCCTCTCCGAAGGCTGTCCAGTTGCATCTTGAATGCCTTCAATGTGGGAGAGCCCACCACCTCCCTTGGCTATGGTCCCATTGCTGTGCTACTCCAACAGTCAGAAGGTTCTTCTGATGCCCAGCTGGAACCTGGCTTGATGTACCTTGAGCCCATTATTCTGTGTCCTGCACTCTGGGATGTTCGAGAAGAGAACCTGGCCTTCCTTGTTGTGACAGCCTTTCAAGGAATCGTGTTAAAGGAACCAAGTGGAAGTCTTCGAAAAGGACAAGCAAACAAGACCCCAGGTTGGGACTGGAGCTTCATCCCTGCTGAAGATCATATCCCAGCAGTCAGGCCGCTGCTGACTCCAGTGCTCCTGGCCTCACCCCTTGCAATGTTGCCACCCACTCTGGGTCCCCTAAGCTCCGAAGGGGGGCAAAACGAAGGCGGCCCACTCGCCCTGCTGTCTCTGAGCATCGGTGTGCATTGCACCCAGGAGACAGAAGGACAATGGGCAGCACTGACCCCAGACACACATGGGTTTGCTCAGGGAGGGAGCCCACTCAAAGCATCTTGCTCCGCTCCCCTGAGCCTGGATCCCACCCAGGCTGCTTAGGTGAGGAATGTTGGCTGCTCCCGAATTCAGCAACATTTTCAAGGATATAAGTTTAACGTGTTACATTTTCCTGCCAGGTGTGCAGCGTTTCCTTGTTCTGCAATGGAATGATCCTCTGATCAATAAACCTGATGTGATTTCCTTGAGAAAAGGAGACTTTCACAATCAGAGGCTGTGCAAAAATCCTCTTGACAAATCCCCGTGTCACTTTGCTTTGTCCTTGTGCGACAAGAGGTAATCTTTCTTCTGCCCTTCTGTGTAGATTCAAAAATACTTGAAGGTGATGGAATTGCGCAATGTTTAGATAGTCACTGATGTCCACAGTGTTGAATAAAGAGGACAAAGGCATTCAGTGAGGATATTAATTCAGTTCAACTAAGCCAATAACTTCATACTTGTCTGCAATTTGTCATGCAAGCAAACATGTAATTTTATATTAGTTTTTCTTGGAACACGTTGATCTGCATTCTGACTCTGGGTCACATCATTGCCTCAGGCAATGGATCAAGGGAGAGGATTAGGCAGCTTGGAGCTCCGCACTGGGGCATGTGTCTGCCCACCATTTTGTTCTCATGGCTGGGCTGGGCTGTCTGCCATTTTTCTGCTTGGTTGGCATTGCCATCAGGTTTAGCCTTCATCCTCCTTCTATAATGCCAGAATTTTCCCAGGCATTGATGCCAGGTGCCTGGTCTGTAGTTCCCAGGATCTTCATTTTTTCCCTTTCCTGAAGACAGGGGCGACATTAACCCTTCTCCAGTCATCTGGCACTTCCCCTGTCCTCCATGATTTCTCAAAGCTAATCGACGGTGGTTCTTGAGGGTTCTTCTGCCAGTTCCTTTATGACTGTGGGATGGAGTTCGTCGGGTTCCGGAGACTTGAACTCATTCCACCCAATTAGATGATCCTTGACCGCTTGCCTATCAATCTTGAGCTGCCATCCGGCTCCATTAGCTTATGTGTCCCCTTCTTCAGGAACTTCCTAGATCTTTTGGAAGAAGACTGAGCCAAAGCAGGAATGGAGCACTTCTACCTTTTCTTTGTTTTCTCTGTTATCATTTTGCCGTCCACAGCGAGTAGCTGAGCCTCTATATCTTTCTTCTTTCTTTTCATTTGGACATATCTGAAGAAGGCCTTTTGTTGTTTTTAGCATCCCTTACTAGTCTCAGTTCATTCCTGGCTTTAGCCTTCCTGAAGCCATCAGTGCAATTCTGTGCTACCTGTCGGGGTTCTTCCGTTGTAGTTTGGTCTTCCTTTCATTTCCTGTACTTGCCATTTTTGTTTGTTTGTTTTCTGATCATCTGCAAGCTTCTTATGAGACCACCTGGGCTTCTTCTGTTGTTTTCTACACTTTTTCCTTGTTGGAATTGTTGGCAATTATGCCTTTAGAATTTCCTTTTTAAAAAATTCTCACTCCTCTTGGATTCCTTCTCTCTTTACAGTCACTTGCCACAGGGCTTTACTTATCATTGTTCTGCTCTTTTTAAAAATGGCTTTCCTAAAATCCAGGGCATACGTTTGGCTGTTGCTTCCTTTAGATTCAGGAATTCAAACATGGCATGGTTACTTTCCTCCTGAGTTCCCATAGCTGCCACTTTGCCTTCTACATCTTCACTGTTGGTTAGCATCAAGCCAAGGATAGCTGTTCCTTCAGTTTCTTCCTCCACTTTCTGTTGAAGGAAGTTATCAGAAACACATGTTAGGAATTTCTTGGAAGGGCTGCATTTGGCAGATTTGCCTCCCAACAGATATCAGGGAAATGGAAGTCCCCATAATGATGACACCATGCTTTCTTGAAACACTGGCAATTTGCTTTTCAAAAGTGTCCTGCTCCTCTTCTCCTTGGAGGGCAGTTGGTGGTAGATTCCATCCACTGTGTTCCTTTTATTCCTTGCTCCATTTATGTTGACCCAGATGCTCTCGATGGGGCTACTAAGCTCATCCTCTGGTATTTATGTGCAGAACTGGTATCTTTAACACATAGCATGACTCCACCTCCCTTTCTGTTCCTTCTGCTCTCTTGAGGATGTTCTGTCCTTCAGAGGTTGGATTCCAGTCATGAGAGTCATCCCACCAAGCTTCAGTTATACCTATAAGGTCACGTTCACCCTCTTGCATTAAGAGTTTGAGTTTGTGCTGTTTGGTTCCCATAATCTGGGCATCGCTAAGCAGATGCTGAAGATGATATGATTCTAGCTCCTTCCTACATATTTTGGAAGGCAGAGCTGCTCCCTCTGTCACGGTGCACAAGCCTTTGTCTGTTGTCACACCCAGGGGTGCTTCTCCCACCCTTGCAGGAGTCAGTTTAAGCCCCCCGATAAACGTCTCCATGCTGTGGCCAAGCACCTTCTTTCCAGTCCTAGTAAGGTGCAGCCCATCCCTCATCAGCCGTCCATCTCCCAGGAAATGGTCCATGGTTCCCGAATCCACACCTTTCATGTCAGCGCCACCTTTGCAGCCAAGCACTCACCTGCACTACTCTTCTTTCCCTGCCTGTTCCTCTTCCAAGAACTGGAAGGAATGAAGAGAAAACTCCCTGGGCCCCCAAAGTTCTTGACTTTCTTCCCAAAAGCTTCAAAGTCTGGTGTGATTTCCTCAAAGCTCCACTTGGCGGTACCATTTGTTTCGACATGTATAAGAAGGAGGGGATCAGCATTTGTGGCATTTATGAGCCCTGGCAACCCTTCACTCATCTGTCCTCCAGGGAGACAGCCTGTCCAACGAGTCCATGGGTCTTCACGATATACATGTGTTTTCATACATGCAACAGGGAGTCTCTCACAATTAACACACTTCTCTTCTTGTTCTTACAGGCCTTGGTTGACCTCCAGCCTCTGGCTCAGTGTCCTACAGGGTGACTTGTAGTTCTTCCACTGCAGGCTGCCCCCCGGTCTGATCCTCGAGTGAATGAAAGCAGTGCAAGGGTCCACCACTTCCACTGGTGCACAGTGTCTTCTAGCTCTTCTGCTCCTAACCCTCACCCCTTTCCAGGGAATTTCCTCCTCATTTTTCCTCCTTTCAGGATCCTGCCTCAGCTTTCTGTTGCACTTCTAGCTTCTGTACTGAGCTGAGCTGTCGTAGTTCCACTGCTCTGTCTAAAAACTCTTCATCTTCTCCTAGTCCCTTGAGGGCAGACGGCCACTGCTCCAGTGCTCTCACCTTTTCCTCCAACAGGGCTACTGACTTGCACCTGCTGCATGTTCAGGCCATGTTGGGTCATCTGTTGGTGAGTTATCAATTTCCTCTTGAATCCGTGCATAAAAGTTTTCAATTTCTTCTTTTTCCGCAGCATCTGTTGTTGGAGTGTGGACTTGCATGATAGTTGTGTTGGCAAGTTTTCACCCTGGCATTCCTGAACTCTGTGCAGCTAGTGGTTCAGATTTCTTCGCATATTTGATAGGGATTCCCAAATTCCATCTCAAAGCTTATTCTGAGCTGGGGCCTCATCAGATTAGAGCCAGTGTGGTGTCGTGGTGAAGAGCGTGGGACTGGGACTCGAATGATCTGGGTTCGAGTCCCCGCTCGGCCATGGAGCCAACTGGGTGACTTTGGGCCAGTCACAGACTCTCAGCCCAACCCACCTCACAGGGTTGTTGTTGTGGGGATAAGATGGAGGAGGAGAACGATGTAAGCTGCCTTGAGCCCTTTGTAGGAAAAAGGCAGGATATAAATCGCTATATAAATAAATAAATAAAAATTGTTTTTAATTTCAGTTAAAAATCGGCGGTCATTTTCATGTGCTTTTTTCAAAATGCTCCCTTCAAATTTTGACATGTACAATTTTTGAAAGGCAGTCAATTGTGAAATATACTCATTTGGAAATGCACTCACTCTGAAACATGGTTATTTTGAAACATACCCAGTTGCAAACAGATTATGTTAAAATTTCGGACATCCCTGGACCACAAATCGCCCTGAATTCATGTTCAGTCCAGAAGGTGTGGATTGCATATTGCCTTGATTATCGAATGGATAGCAATGAATTTTTCATACAGACCTAATGATGGATAACCTTTAGAATCCTTCTGATAAGATCCCAGTGACTGGCCTTTTCAAGAAAGAACAGAGAACAAAGACAGTAATGTTCTTGATCAGTTGCTGGTGATACATGACTCACTTTGTTGATTTTGTCATCTATTTTTCACCCCTCCAAGAGTTAGTCTTAGACATCCCCCTCTCTTTCCTCTTTTCTTGGAGGGAAATCCCCAGGGTTCCTTATAAAAGGGATTCCCTTTCCTTTCCTTGTTACTTCTGCCTAGGCTGGAAAGATGAAGTTCGTCACGGCAGCTGGGCTCTTCCTTCTCCTGCAAAGTGTAGAGGCTACGACTGTCAGCCCAACCAAGCCCAAATTCGAGGTAAGAGATGTCTCAGGTTGATAAACGCTGCACAGTCTGAATTCACTTCCTTCTGCAGTGAGCATCCTGGACTGGGAAGGCTTCATTGGACAGCAACTTCCAGAGGGGACTCCTCTCTCCAAGGCAGTGTTTGTAGGATCGCAACTGTGGGGTCATAGGAAATAGTTCTCCAAAACAGGGTACGTACAGTCAGGGTGAGCTCTGAATTTTAGTCAAGAGCAGAAGTCCCTGGTTTTCTGTTCCACCTGTTTGGCAAACAGAGCGCAGAAGCGAATGTCAGGGAAGAGGAAAACAAGGGCTTGGTTTCGCTGCTGTTATGTATTTATTATTAACATTTACACTGTGTTTTTGCTCTGAAAGGTAGAAGGGGAAAGGCTTCTGCTACGAGAAGCCGCCAATCTATAAACTGACAACAGGCAGGTGTTCAGAAGAAAGGGGATACATTTACACATGCTTAACCTGGTCAGAGCTGATAAGACCAGATTTGGGGAGCCAAATCTTTCCATGCAGGTAGGAATAACCTCACAGGTGGCCATAAAATTGCAATGGGATGCTCCCTGTCTGTCTGGCGAAACGCGCACCCAAATGAATGCACGGGAAGGACTGTACTGCAGCGTAATGTTGCAGCATTTCATCACCCATTGAGTGAGGAAATGGGAAATGCTCCAGCAACCTGGAATCTTGTCCTGTTGGCCAGGCATCCCTTAGGACGGAAGAGAGCCAGGATGCGGAGGGACACCGTTCTTGCTCCCTTCCTAACCCCTCCCTGTGCTGGGTTATAAGGCACGGGGGTGCTGCTAAACACAGCCTCAAATATGGTAGGGCTGGACATCTGTGCATGTCATTGGGTGTAACACGCAGGCGTCATTGGGTGTGACACGCAGGCATCCAGAATTGGAAGGAGGGAAAGCCTGTGTCTTTTCTTTCAAGCAGAAAAGGTAACTTCAGGGCACATCCCCTTTCAGCCTTTGTCTCCTCCTATGATAAGCAGCTGACCTTCCTGAACACATTGCTCCCGGCTGCAGGATCTAGTGATAATGAAGGCATGGTCTCCCTGACTGAGTTTCTCCAGCCAGCTCTGCATCTCTGCTTACCACTGTGGGTTCTGCAAGCCCACAGCGATCAATTTTTAAAGCTTAAATAGCCCCCTTGAATTCTAATTCCATATTTGCAAACCTCTGCGTACCCAGCGATTCCCCCTATTTCTGGGCAGCCCTGACTCATTTCCAAACTCTTCATCACCAGAGTTTGCCCTCATAAGCTGCCAGCAGGACGTCCAACAAAATTCATCCATTGCCGTGCTTCCCAAGGCTAGCCATGTTTCCATCTGGGATGCCAGAAGCTCTTTGGGGATCCAGCAAGTCAGTCTGTCCAGCTCCCCCACTTGTCCATCTCTCCCCCTCCCTCTCTCTCTCTCTCTTTCTTGGGGGATGGGGGCCCCTTCTGCAAACCAGTGAGTTCTCCTGCTGCTTATTTTGGCCCCACTGGGTTCAGTGTAGGAGCACCGAGCCCTTCTGTGCAAAGTAATGGTGGAAGGTCGATCTTCTGTATAGACATAAAAGTGAATATTCTGCCATCCCCCAAACTCCCCTCACACTGCAGTGTGACCAAGCAGCAGAATCCAGCAAGACTGTACATAGTTGTTTCTTTGCCAAGGGTGCCCTGTTTTACCCCCGTTTCAAACAAAGCCCTTTCTTTCATGGTTGTCAAAGGCAAACGCTAGCAAAAAGCTGCAGGCTGTACTTTTTCACCTTCTTGCACTGCTGAAGATAATAAATGGAAAGGTTGGGGGCATTCCTTTTGGGGCTGGAAACACAAAACCTGACGCTCTCACTGTGAAAGGGGGAAGCAGAGCTTACTCCCTCTCAAAGGCAAAGATCTCCCGTGTGTTTTCTTCCCCCTGATAGCTTGTCTTTTCCTGGGGGAAGCACCTTAAGACTCTCTGGGTTAATATCCAGGGTTGGCGCCTGCTGTACTTTGACAGCAAAGTTGCCTCAGGTGAGGTTTCCTCTTTGTGGAGCTGCAGAATTGTACATCTCCACTTGCAAGTCTGGCTGGAGGAATATGCATTTTTAAAAAGTACATAAACAAATTGTTTGGTGTATTTGTAAGGGGGCGAACTGGTGACTACCTGGTTAGGCACTTTGGAAGGGGTGTCACTGGGAGCAGCTGGGGCGAGGCTGGTAAGAATGGCAAGAATGCCTTGTTTCCTGTTACCCAGAGTAGGATCCATCACCTGGGTTTGGACGAGCAGCAACTCACGGTGGGTAAAGCACATCCTGCAAGAGCTCATGGGCCCTCGGGGTGGCGTGGGCTGAGAGGGAGATGCGCCACCTGTGGGAAGAGGCCTCAGGGGTCGTGCCATGGGAACCCAGTCATGGTGCAAAAGGGAAGCGGCACTCCGGCGGTGGTTTAGAGGGCCTTCCTCACTGCCATCATCATGGCCACTGCCTTCCCTGCCAAGACTAATCAGAGCAAGAGAGAAGGAAAGCTCAAACATGGAGCTGTGCCCAGAAATCTGGATGGCACCCACATCCATGCTGTGCTAGAAACTGCTTAACTTGTGGCCAGCCTCCTCTTCCTCCCCAGGAAGTGCTTCTATGGATCCTGCTGTAATAATTCTCCATAATGTGCCACTTTGTATAATGCACATAGAACATAGACACATAGAAACAGAGCGAGCCAGAAAGGGGTCCTGGGCCATCTAGTCTGACCCCTGACTCCAGCCGGCTCTGGTCATGACATGCCCACCATGTGCACGTGCAGCCTATCCTTGAACACCCGCACCGATGGGCCTTCCACCACCTCCCGTCTCTACCTCTCGCTTGCCTGCCTGTGTGAGGAGCGGATGGACTCTCCAGCAAATAAATTCCATGTTGCATGTACATAAACAGTTTGCCTCATCACAAACCTGTGGAGGATTCAGCCACATGCATTAAAAAGTGAGCAGCTGATGTCTTTTCAAAGCATTCTTTTGCTCATCTGGAATGCAGCTGCTTTGCAAAAGACTTGTGTGCTGTTTACATGCTTTTCTCTTTAGCTTTCCTGCTTCTTCCTTTGCTCCTTAATTCAGTGCAAGATTTGTGGAACTCATGGAAGTTTTTTCAAGTAGTTTCTTTTCTAAAACTGCAACACTTTTGGTTAAGAATAAATGTGATTGGTTGCTTAAAAGGGGTGGGTGGGGGTGTAAAGAAAAGTTCTGTACTTCTCTAATCTGGTCCATCACAGTTGAAAATATTGGCTGCATTCACACAACACGGCAAGCATCCTTGCGTGGTTATCATGGTTCATGGGTTTTTACCATGATCAAGATGATCAAGTGCTTCTATGCTATCATGGTTTCCATCCTTCCTTCTCCTACTGTTGGCATATATTCCATCAGACACTGTGTCCAAAATGCAATCCCAAGGTGCATTGCCCCCTGCCTGTGTCGCCTGCCTCTTTTTTATTGGTCGGCGCATAGTGGCCGGTTGGTTGGAGCAATTCCCGCAGTTGCTGCTCCTCCGAGGGATTCTGCGGTGGTCGCATACCAGGATCATGGAAATCATGACCTTGGATCCAGACAGCACTGCAAACCATGGTGGTGCAGAGAAACCATAGAACAAACCACTGTTTCTTATGGTGGTTGCGAAAGACCAAGCTTACCATGGTGAAATACCATGGTAAGTTGACTGGCTTCAGACAACACCACAGACCAACAGCGGTTAAAAAAAAAAACATAGCTGGCCTGTCACACTAAAGGAATAGACTCTACAATGGGGATAGGCTTGAGTCTAAATGGCTGAGTTCACACAGTCCTCACCCCTAATAATACCCACGAATAGAACCCTTGACTTTTTCCAGTGCATGCCTTATGCACTTTCCCAGCCTCCACAGACCAGTGCTCTGACCCTTCGGTTTTGCTTCTGTGTCCGAAGAGCACTTTCCATGTCTGCTGTTTCTTTTCTCAGCAAGGAGAAGGTGGTATTTAATTATGAAAGCAAAAGGAAGCACGGTGTGTGCTTGTGCGTTTTTTCCCTACTAAAGCACTGAGCCATGCAGGGATGATGCAGCAGGAAAGCAGCAAATGCTTGCCATGTAGTACCTAGATCCCATTCTGCAAAGAAACTGGAAGCAGATTCAGCAGTCCAGCAGCCAATTAACACCCTTATGTAGAACAGTTCTCAGGCCAGAAAATATCAGCTCAAGTGAAGTTCATGTCCTCTTATCTAGGTGAGGACTGGGGCCCTCCACCACTGACCGAGTTAATAAATTGCAAATATTGGCAGGAAATTATGGGGCATTAGATAGACACACAGGCCTCTAAGGTCTAGATTTACCATCCTTGAAATAGAGAAATCCCCAGCACTGAGAAACGTGCATGTTTATTTTGAACGATCCACAGAGCCACAGTTCTGTAGTGTGGCTACAGCAGATTCCATTCTAACCTTTCCTTTGGAGAAAACATCGAGGTGCCATCCTATCAACCACGCCTCCGGACCTGTTTCATATCATCCAACGAAGGGTGGGAGGACCTTTGGAGGCAGCCTTTGCCTCTCTTAAATTGTTTTGTCAGGTGGGATGTTTAGCTTTCCCTTTGAGTTTTTTCCCCCTAGTGAAGGCATTTCAGAGGGGGAGCAAAGAAATCTGGGAGAAGCTCCTCCTTCTCTGAGGTTGTTTTTCAGCCTCGGAGAGACTGCCGACAGTTCTGTCCACACCAGCTGCGAGGGTAGGTGAGGTTGGTTGGATTCCAACTCTGCCTTCCAGAATCAGTGCTATCTCTGAACTTGGGAGGGGGGAATCCTCCGAGTCTGAGGGACCTTGGTAATTTTTGATATACTAATCAATGCAGAATCTTGTTTTTTTCTATTTGCTCAATCTACTATGCTTTAGTTTTTGAACATCAGTCTGAATAAAAAGTGGTTCGCAGTGTATTAATCCATCAGCTTACCCTCTGAAGACTGCATAAATGGTTTTGTGTTTCCATCTGAAGAACAATCGTACTGCTGTGCTTCAAGCACAGTTCGTGTGAATTATCACCTTCCAGGGGGCTTCCTGAAATTTTCCCAACTTCATTGTTCTTACAGCTATTGACCAATGTGACTGGTTCATTGGATGACAACGGACAGTGCCAGTGTACAGTGTATCTGCCAGACACCACCTTTCCCGTAGAGCGGATGGAGAAGCTTGAAATTACAGTTCAGGAGCTCTCAAAGACATTTGACACTGAACTTTCCAAAGTAAGTGATTTTTTTAAAATTAAAAAAACACAGAAATTGCCGGTATTTTGTAGTCGACGCAGGTGTGTCCTAATTTTAATGGAATGCAAGCAGAAAAAAATTCTAAGTGGATTGTGTCCCATGACTTTATGCAACCGTCTATTCTTTTGTGGGTGGTCTGGAAGCTTTTGGTTAGGATTGCAAACTTTGATGAAGTATCTAAGGCTTTCATTGACAATCGCAAGAGCTAATCTTAATTAGTAGGGGAATGAATTGCTTATTTTTTGAGGCTATTTTGGTTAGGATAATGGAAAGAAAAGAAAGGCGATCCTTGCAAGCCAGTTCTTTCAGGGGTGAAAACTCCAGGGGCGCAAGCACTTACTCAGGCTTTGTTTTCCTTGCAATGAAGGAAAGTGTATGGTGTTTTGTGGCACGTGGTGCCATTTATTTGCACATATATGCAGACTGAGCGTAGATGGGTGCTCACAGCATTCCTATCCCAATAGATAAAGTGTGTGTCCTGAAGAGTTTTCTTGTTGTTGTTAGTCACGAAGTCGCGTCTGACCCATCGCAACCCCATGCCACGGACAACACTCCTCCAGGCCTTCCTGTCCTCCACCTTCCCCCGGAGTCCACCCAAGCTCACACCAACTGCTTCAGTGACTCCATCTTGCCACCGCATCCTCTGCCACCCCCCTCTTTCTTTTGCTCTAGAGTTTTCTAGAGCTCAGCTAAGTTCACTCGCCTCCAGCCAGGTTTTGCCTGCGTCTCCCTGCCATAACTTGCCCAAACTACTTGCATTTGCCAGTCTCCAATTCTGCCATTGGAGAGCAGAGAGGAGGTGGAAGAAGACGCATCCATTCAATATGCGTGGGGCAGTAAGAGCCATTGGCTTAACCCCACGGGGATTGACCAGGCTGAGGTTGATGCCACCCAAGCTCTTTTACAGTCGGAAGCTGTCGGATTGTGATGTTATTGCAACTGCTGACCTTGACATGTGAGTGGGGCTCAGGCTGAGCCAAGTGCTCCCACTCTCGGTGCACCAAGGACCCCAGGGATCTGTGAGTGAACCGAGGACATCTGAGAGTGGGAGGCCGTGTGCATGGAGGCTTCCGTGGGACCTGGGCTCCTGGCCACGGGGAAGCTGCCATTTGGACAGCCAGGTGTGCAAACGTTCTCCCTGCGGAAAGTCTTGCTGGATGCGTTCATGCCTGGGGCACCACTCTTTGGCCCTTGCAAGACACCGACGTGGAGCTGCCTGGCGCCTCCCCATCTCTGTGTTGAGGCACTACCTGATAGGGCTGGAAGAGATGAAATGGCCTTCATGAAGAAGGGCCTTCCCTCGAGTTCCAGAGTGCCATCTGTCACACCGTTACTTGGTGAAGTGGGTTCTACAGGGTGGTGGGGGAAAAGCGCTCTGAGAAGCTCCTGAAAGAACCAGCACCCTCCCCAGCCAGGCCCCCACTTGCTCACGCACAGGAGCAACGACTTGGAGCAACTCAGCAGGGCTCACGGATGAAAGCAACGGACACCCTTTGGAGTGACAAGTGAGACTTTATCTCAGGGCCCATCTGAGTTTCTGCACAGAGCAACTTCCCCTCTGCAGCTCTTCTACTCTTATTTCCCAAGAACAGCCATTTCCTACCCCTCCCATGCACCACCTCTGCGAGGCCCAACACGTTTTGTGCGTTTGCGTGATCACGGTTAGCATCGCATTAACCTCTCTCCCGTTGATCAAGCGCAGAGGCAAGGAACCCAAGCGGAACCTCGAGTCGTCCCCCACCACATTCTAGCCTTGGCGCTGGCTTTTTCCTCAAGGACTGCACGGCAGCTTTGGCTCATTATATGGCAACCTATTTTGTGCTTTATTAAAAATCTCAACAAGTTGCCTAGCCCAAGACTTTTTTTCCTGGGCATATTTATTCAAATGCACTTTCTAAATCTAGTAGCTAAAAGGCAGATGATTGGTCAACTTCCTTTTTAATTGGCTGATAGCCTTCCTTGAGGCATACAGCTAATCATATTTATGGGAAGGAGCAGAGCTTGTGGACGAGGGCTTTGGATGCAGAAACCATCAAATAGTTTTACTTCCACTGTCACCTGAGGGGAAGTGGCAAGCCAGCAGCCTCTGGGGAAAACCAAATGAAAGAGGTCAAACAGTTGATAGCTCTTACTGCAGAAAAGGGCAAGAATAGCTTGTTTCCCCCTCTTTCCCTCTAATGATATTTTAAGAGCGAGAAAAATCAACCGTCCTTTCTAATATGCAAAGCTGTGAGACAGTGACATGTTTTCATGATGCCATGATACATCCTAATTAAAGTAAAGCTTCTTAGCTTTATGCTGTTTGTGTTGTTTGCTATAGGAATTCAGCTCCCATTTCCCTTGCAAAATTCAGGAAAACACCCACAAACAAGCCTCAAATTCTGTAATCTGCAGAAAGCTGGAAAAAAGCGCTTTCCTGGCCAAGAACTAGCATTTGACATGGGTTGCTTGATGAAAAATATGCAGGGTTTCAATTAGATGTCCAAGAGAAACGGTTCGACTGCTCCAGGAGCCAGACGTCGTAACAAATGAAGTGTCCTTGAATTAATCAGGAGGAAAGACAGAACACTAAATTATAAATTCTCACCATAAATATTCATAAACTTACTCACAGGATAATCAGGACGAGATAAGAAGTTTACGCATAACAAACCCCACAACAACAGAGAAGTAGCGGAGGAGACAGAAACGGCCTTCTGGAAACATTTGCTATTGATTAAATAATGTTTTTGGAAGTCACTGGAACTCTGACACACACAATTCCCCAAGACTTACAGAAAAAGAGACTTAGTGAGGATAGAAACACCCTCCCCAAACACCCATAACTGCCCGGGTTGAGGGATACACATGATCATTTCCGCCATGTTGCTATGGCTTATCCCAAGGTATGGGATATGGCCAACATATCCACACTTAAGTTCTGGATTTACGGGGAATTATGTTGGCTGTGCAGGAAGTGAGATGGAATCACAACTGAAGGGAACACTAGGCAAGCTGGCCTTGGGCAGATTGTTGTTTTGTCTCAGAGCCTCCAAAGCTGGGGGAGGTGGGCTGAGAGAGAGTGCTTTCCCTGGGTGTCTTTGCCATGCCCAAACTGGTTGCTCTGGGGATGAAGGGAGTCTTGTTTTCCCCTTATCTTTGGAGGGGCCTTGGAACCACCTTCTTAGCAATCTATTGCCAATGCCCCTGCAGTTGTGCAGGGTGTCAGTGTGCTCAGAGAAAAGTGTCTTTGGATCCTGTTCACTCTCTTCAAGTGATATGTGTGTTCAAGATGACGGCCAACTTGTCCCCTGTCACTTGGACAGATAGGCAAATGTAATTTCACAAAATTGTGCCCCTTGACTTGTAGTGGCCAATCAGTTACCAAAAAAAAAAAAAAAAAAAAGGAAAAATCCACACCTGATCCACATTCAAGAGGATTTTTTCTAGTCATTTACACCTGCTGAGGAATCATCTTCAGTTATAAAGTGACTACATAAAAGGCCTTCTTCTCAGCTGAAGACTGATTAGCAATATACAGCTCGGACCAATAGTTCCCCTGAAAGCAAACTGTGTTCTTCCCCTTTGAACCAGTTTCTGATTAAAGTGATCAGTACTGGAAAAGGAACCCCCCCTCTCCAATCGCTATCCCAGCTGTTTGTTGCTCTGTGGTATCTCCGGGCACTTCACCCTAACAGGGTACAGAAGCGTCACACTGGATAGCGAATGACACATCCTTTGACAGGATCTTGGCAGACAACACATCAGGTCAGACATGGAAGCAAAGCGTCTCTACAGGGGTGTTGAAGATACTGACTTAGTTATGACAATTGTTTTCAGAAGGAAAATAACAGCTTTGTCAGGAATGTCCTTTGTCTTTCAGAACCAAGGTCATTTAGCAGAGAGGGAAAATGAAGGCAGCCCTGCATAGACTTGTTCAAGATGAAGATACTGTTCTGCCCATTGTTGTTATTTCCAGTGTCAAATGATTAATGGCTCTTGTCCATGCATTGCTGCTCATCAAAATGGCCCAGAGACAACGGAAACCTTGGTGCTCCACCAGCAAAGGTCTCTACTTTCAGGCATCTGTTGGAAATATTACCATTGGCTCTCTTCATGGGAACCTCTCCCTGGGGTTTGCCTCATGCAGCTTATTCTCTTGATGTAACAGTCCATCAACCCAGTTCTGTTTGGAAGGTTTGCTTCTATTGTCTGAAGGGTTAACTGGAGGCTGAAGCGAGCTGAACACTGTGGGGGGAATAACTTATATGCTTCTGGTTTGGGTTGTCGATTAGCAGTCCAAGAAATGCACAGCCCTGTATTTCTTGAACAGAGGGGCAGTCGTGAGGTTCAGGAACAGAGTTGGATGAAATCCCAAGTAGAAATCTGGGATAGTAGATGTCAATGGAGACAACATGAATTTGCAGGATGATCACCAGAGCAAATCTGTACGAACATTCTTTATTGTTGTCTTTTGTTTTTATTATGGAACCTGAGGTCCTGTGTGTACCCACGGCAAAGGGGCAACTTCCCTCATTCCAACACATCCCCACGTGTCACTTTGCAGGGGAAGCCTTGGCAAGGTTCATCTAATTAAGTCCAACGCTCTTTGCAAGAACCTCGAATTGAGCAGCCATGAGGTGGGCCACCTCTGGGCCACAATTAGTCTTCTGCCCAGTTCTGGGGTAGACAACATCACGGCAATTAAACTGGCACAAACCAACTAAAGTTCTAAGGCAGTGGCACCCTACACAGCCATTGAGTATAGAGGTGCACGGATTCTGTCAGGAATTCTGGAGCTCGGGCAGGGACTCTGGGTCTGAGACTGGATCCAGCGTTTCTACTGGTATTATGATGCCCAATTCCTTGGTGTGCCCCCTGATGCCATCCTCCTCATGCTTGTTCTGCTGTTATATCCTGGATTTCTTCAGACTAGTTATATTTTGGCTTTTTAACATGTTGTGTTTTTTCTCTGGTATATATATCGGTGTGTGCTAAATCTGCAGCTCTGTTCTGGGTCTGAGGAGAGTGGCTTCAGTTTGCTGGAGAGCAGGGGAGAGGACAAGTCTTCTCCAGGCTTTGGCAGAACAGCAGAATCCTGGAGATCCTTCAGTTATTGTCCCACCTCATGGATTTCTCTCCCTCCCTTCTAACCTGCCTGGTGAAAAGGGAGCAAATGTAATGCTGTTGTCATCCAGATGAGGTTGGATGATGGCATCAGGAGAGCAGCCTCCCCGCATCTTCCCACCTCTTCTCCATGATTTATGTCAGGGGACAGGAGCAGCAGCCCACTCTTTCATGTTTCTAATCTCCATTCGTTCAGTTCTTTGCATGGATGGAAAGAGGCTCTGCAGCTTTGCTCTTCAAGGGCTATTTCCCCGTGCACGCACCATTCTTCAAATGCCTTCCACTTCTTGCACAATTGCATTTGTGTATGATGCAGGATCACGCTTTCAACACAGTGGAAACGGTGCTGTAGCCCAAAATGCCATCACCTTATGAAGGAGCTCTTGATGAATGGAAGGGGGCTCTCGTGTAGGTCCTCCCTGGGATTTAATGTGGCCAACGCCCTTCGAGGGTGCCTGCATGCTCAGGCTTCAGCCTCTTCTTTGGGCACAGAAATGAAGGCAGGCAATGATCCAGCAACACCAAGCCTCTGGATTGGCTGGGCTTGGCACGGGCCCCCAGAGGAGCCTGGTATCATCAATGCAGCATCAATGCAGCATCAATGCATTGTCCCATCAATGCAGCAGGTACTGGGACTCAGGGCTGCGGGAGAGCAGACTGAAGTCGAAGGATTCCAGTGGATTCTGTTCCCTACAAGGATTTCCCCACCCATCTCTAGGTGAGAGTATTATGCAGAAGTAGGTCTGACAAGCACAAGGAATTCATTGCACTCCATTGGAAATAATTCTGGGAGGATTAAATCAGATTTCCCCTGCAAAAGGTATGGCTAAGGAACCTCTGTGTTTTGCCGCAGTCTGATGCACTTTTCTATTGAACTCAATAAAAATTGCTGAGAAGAATATAGCTGATCAGCGATTACACTTTTCCTGTCCTGAAGACATTTCACCTTATCTATGCCATTTATCTCTAATCTTTGCCATGTATTTTGGTCTAAAAATAAAGACATAGTTAGATAAGCTTTTGCACTCAGTTGTACCCATGTAATCATATGTTGATCTCCGTGAGATAGCAGAGGTGCATTGAGGCAAAACTTATCTTTTAAAAGATATCTCAAATACATTTGCTAAAACAGAATGCATTTCTCTGTATTTTTTTAAATATATATAGGTTAGTCAGTACACCAAAGAAATTGAAATATATGAAAAAAGGATTAACAACCTCACCATTAGGATTGAGCACATGGAACAAACCAGCATATCTTACACTGAACTGGAGTTCCAGCTGATCAAAGCAGAAATCGCCCAAATGGAGAAACTGGTCATAAAACTGAAGGAGTCCCTGACGGAAAGCAATGTCATCGTTGAGGAGCTGCATGAAGAGGTACGGTAATGCTTTGCCTGGCCCCGTAGTTTTCCCTTGCCCAATCCATGGTTGTGTTCACCCTGAAACGGCTCAGATGGAACCGAAGAGAGAATTTAGCCCTTTCCTTTCTTTCTGTCTGTGCTTGCCCTTAGTGAAGACACTGATGGGATAATATGGCTGGACCAAGGCAGCAAACGGGGGAAGAGCATCAGAATGGCTGAAGGTTCAAAGCACAAGGAAGGGTTACTTTTTGCAAATAGGGTGTTGGAAGCCGTAACCCAGATTTACAACATCCGTATCAGCTAGATCTGAGGTCATCTTGGGCCAATCAAAAGCCCATTTGTGGGGACCTGTGCAGAAAATCAGAAACTGTTCCCTGTGTGTGTGTGTGTGTGTGTGTGTGTTCTGGGGATGCTCAAGAGTTTGGTTCAGTGTTTTCAAGCAAGACAAATTGGTTTGTGGCTCCTGGGTGAATATGAAGATTGGAATGCAGTTACCCGACATTTTTGAGACGTCTCTGAATGTCATGATACCATTATCTGCTCAAAAAATATACCTAAAATCCATACAAAAACACAATGTCATGCATATTGATGTGGAAATGGAACAGAATGGACCTATAAATGGAAACATCTGAAACTGACAAATTCATTCAAATGTCCATTCCATTAGTGATCCATTCAAATGTCTTCAAGGCACCCAAATGCAACAGATCAGTAAAACAACAAAACCATGCAATAAGATCTAATCACACATCTTTTCATTGGAACAGTCTTTGACAGACCAAACATTTCTTTGCACCCCTGAGCACTGTCTGTCCACACAGAAATGCGTTCTCAGAAATTTGTCGTTTTGTAGAATGTTTCTGACTCTTGAGAAGGTTGCTTACCACCAAGAAAAACCCAGTTTGCACAACAAACTTGAATTTCAGGAGAAGTCACCTGTAAAATTTCATTTGCCTAGATTAAGAATTTGACCATCATTGTGGATCAACTGGAGTCACTGGACAAGCAAAACATCCTTGTGATCCGCAGAGAGATTGTGGCGCTGCAGAATAAATTGCGGGAGTGTGAAATAAGTAAAAACCAGACCACTATCATCCCCAGCTTCCCACCTGGTAAGCACTTCTTTTATAGTTTTGTGGAAAAGCACATAGGAAGGGTTTCATCAAGGAAGATATATTTTAATATTTTCCCTTTCTTAGAGTGCAGAATCAATAGACCTATTGTTTTGCATTTTTTAAATGTCTATGCTGAACTGATCTATATATTGATCTCTTTGTGTCTCCTAACATGTCATAGCTCCATACTTGTTTGGAATGAATGAGAAAATGAGCATGAAGTATTGGAATCCTATCCAGGATATTCTGACTCTTTTTATTTCTTGAAAAGATTTCTCTCCCACCTTTTAGTCAAACAATGAACTACAAGGCAGTCTTTTTAAAAATATAAAGTCACAGTATGTCATTTCATGGAACTGTATTTTTAAACCTGAAATACTAGGAAGAACTTTTAAAACATTTGAACTCCTTTTAAAAACAAGAATGTCTTGCAAACCCCACAAGATTCTTTGTGCGGAGTTGCTTCTTTCTTCGACCTTTGTCTCCACTGGATGAGCTTTCCTACCCAGCTTCCCCACAGATGCATAGTTTTATACATCTCTGTAATTTCTCTCCCAATTCAGCATTTTCCTAAGCTGAAAAGCAGCTAATATAGTAATGATTCCTCATAGGAGAGTTGTCCACTCCCTTTATCTTGTTTATGCTCCTCTCCTGCAGCAAGTCTAGCTCTGGTCATTCCTCCATCGCAATATGGAACAAATATTTGGTGCACATGAATCACAATGTTGGCAAGTGTGTTTTCATCCTTTTCTCCTCCTTTCCAATGTGGAGTTTGTCCTTTGCACCACAGCTAATCAACTTTTCATCTCTTTACACTTGATCACGTTGAACCACATTTGGCATTTCCTTAGTTTGGAAATATTCTTTAGGAGTTCTTCTGTGCCCCTTTTTGGTTTTAATAATCCAGTAACATTTGGTATCAACACTAAACCTGACCTCTTTTTAGCTTTTCTAACTACCTATCAGTGGGAGATGATCAGCCCTTTGCGACCATTTCCCATTTATTCCTACACGCCGCTTCCCATTCTTTAATCAGTTCTCAAATAGTAACCGAGGTTCTTCTATTATCTCCCGACTGCAAAGTTTGCTTTCAAAAGCCTTTTCAAAGGCTGAGCATTTCTCTGCTGAAGGCACAAAACCAGGCACTTTTCTTGGACTTCTTCTTTGCAAGAGAATTAGAGATTCCCCCCCCCTTCTGCCTGTCTTTATGGTTCTGTACACTCCATAATACAACACATGGTTTGGTTGTGATACAGAGAGCATTATGAAAACAGACTAGGCTTCTGCAGTGAGTAATAGCACCATTTAGGGAAACAAGAGATTCCTGCCCACCCCCCCACCAAAAAGTTCAGCGAATGGATTTTGTTGTTGTTGTGTGCTGTCAAGTCATCTCCAACTTATGGTGACCTAGGAATGAAAGCCCTCCAAGATGTCCCTGTCTGTGGTGGCTTCCCTTATGGATCAACCCATCTCATCTTGGGTCTTCCCCTTTCCATAGCATGACCATCTTCTAGAATGTCTAATATTTGGGGAAATGGTTTGCATGCTGCACAATCAGTATGTTTACAGTTTGCTGGAAAAAATGGGACTTTAGAAAGCAGGCCTGTGTAATCACAGGTTCAAACAGCAGACGGTTTGGTGTTGGAGATGGAAAATTGAGTTGGTGTCTCTCTTCCACTGATTCCCATGCACTGCCACCCACTGGACACCACTGCCGCCTGCCATGCTGTCTTGGCCCTCCCTCCGTTTCAGCAAGCATCTCGCAGGACTACCCACATGGGTCTGCTCGGTAGGTCTCCTCTCCTGCTGCCTTCCATAATGCACAAGATCTGCCATGCTCAGGACGGGGGCTGCTTTTGGGAATTGCCCGTTTGGGTGGCCAGTCAGAACAAAGGATTGTCTTCCGCAGCTCCTTTTTATGTGCATGCATTTTTCTGGGAAGCATTATTTGCCAGCATGTATTTGCCACAACCTTCTTTTCAATGAGTTCAGATTCCTTCCTAGCAGGATAAATGATAGGATGTCAAGCCGAATTTCCTTGTTCAAACACCTTCTTGAACTTTCTTGCCATGTGGGCACCTGCTATATTTTTTCTCCGAAGGAGGTGAAACCTTTTGTCTGACAGGTTAAGGGATAGGTGGGGAAAGAGTCATTTAAAAAAAACAAACCCAAAATCAAGAGCAGAAACAATACCTCTCAGTCTCAGAGAGGGCATTGAACTCTCTCAGGAAGAGCTGAGAAGTTTTTCGAGTGCTTGAAAGGTATCTTTTGATTTATTGTGGGAGACAGCATGCTGAAGGAGCCCCGTTTCTTCTGAAGCATCTCTTTTGCTTTCAAAAAATACTCCAGCTTTAATATTAGCAATTAGTTCTTCAAAAAAGATGAAAGAGAGATGGAGAGAGAAAAAGAAAGAGGGCGAGAGGGAAGGAGGGGTTGTCAAAGTGGCTTATTTTCCATAAGCGATTGCTTGGCCAACGGGGATAAAGTGAGCAACGATGCTTCGGCTTCCAGGGAGCTATGGGGCATTGAGAGGAAGGCTGGAAGTGGCCGCTCCTACAATGGAGTCTCCATACCAACCAGGTAAAAGGGCCATCCTGGGTCTGGATGGCTGGAAATTCCAAGAAGAGGCACAGAAACCTGACCACAGATCATTGATTCTCCCGATGGTATCAGGTGATTGACTCAGGAACTCCAGGACAGGCTAAGAACCGGAATATTTCACTGTGGCTTCTTGTGTCATGAAAACCCAGTCATTGTGTTGCTTGAACTTGGCACAGGTGGGTTGTTGGTGCGGGGAACAAACCACCTACAACCTGCGGGCCAATTTCTCTCCCTCCTTAGCTTTCTTTTCATTTCCTTTCAGCATTTATGAGAGATGTGCATCTGAGTGGTGGAAACTTCAGGAGGGTGGACAGTTTCCATCAGAAACACAGCTCCGGGGGAAGGCGACAAGCATCCCTTTGCTGAAAATCACAACCTTCTTTTTATTTTCCTAAGCAGCAGTGGCAGCTGTTGGCACTTTATGGCATGCATTTGCATGTGATTTAATCAGTTTGCCCCCGATTTATCTGTAGCACCCAGCTGGCTGGGAAAGAAGAGGGCTTGGCAAGATCTTAGCAGGTCTTTGCAGAGATGCTATTTCTTAACGGGAGCAAGAGGCATGGGAGGGAATCCTACTTCTTTTGGTTGAGTGCTACATTCAAGTATAGTTTAGATTCTGGTTTTAAGTGGGGTTTTATTGTATAGAATGGATGCTATGCACTGCTTTGTTTTATTGCAAGACTTTTCCAAGACCACTTGGTAGTGGATGGTATACAAAGGTTTTAAATAAATACATAAATAAATAAAAGCCAACATAGTCCTTCGCCCCAAGGATTCCCCCACCCCTCGTCACATACTTCAAGGTGCTTTCTAACATGATGAGGATGACAATTTTGAAGACAGGGATTTAAGCATAGCAAAAAAGCTAGATTGGACAGGGAAGCAAACTTATGAAAACTCTATCCTTTCCTGTCCAAACTACCAAGAAGAGATGGGGAGGGGAAGAACAACCTATTATGAGACAAATCAACAATCATTGTTTGGTGTTGGCACAACGGTGCATCCAAGGTGGCTTATGGCCGGGGTGAATTGCTGTTACATGCAAATAACACCCACTATTTTGAATTAGCAGGAAGAGAGAAAGGGATGAATTGAGATTGCACCTGAATACCTAAGCAGGTGGCTTTGAACAGCTCACAGACCCTTTATTCTCACTGAAGCAGGTGAAGAGGTAGTTTGTATGCTCTCCCAGCAGCTTTGGATGCGCCTGCATCCCTCCAGCCCATTTGGGTTCCATTTGCTTCGGATTCATCTTATATTCATAATGTTTGTATTAAACTCGGATGGCTTTTCTCCCCTTTCTTGCCTTCTTTTTTGTCCCATTTCCAGCCCTTTCCATTTTTTCCTCTCTCTCGTGCCTCAGCATTTTGTGGAGGGGGTGAGGTGTGCCAAGCGAATCCCAGGGCTGTCTAGCTTATGAATAGAACGAGAGTAGATAAAGTTAGCAGCTATGGCAAAGCTTTGGAAAGTCGCATCATGAAATGCTCCGTTGCGAAGCTGCTCCCATGGCTGTGCTCAGTGGTGTGGATTGGTCTAGTTTGCAGCAGTGTTCATGAGAAAAATACGTCTTCGATTTTGCCTGCAACTGTCTAGCTCTGTGTACGTTCCGAGATGGAAAAAGCATTTGGCAGGCACCAAGTCACAATCTCATTTTCTGAGGAACATTTTGGCAGTCCGCTGATATTGTTTCCATCTGTTTAACTGTTCACCCGTCCTTCCCTTACCCGCAAATAATCATCTGCCTCGCCTTTGCAATTACTTCACATTGGAGATCAGTGCTACACCAAAGACTGACCTAAGCTGCATTTGACCTCTGGCTTCTGCACTGAATAGGGATGATGACAAGGCCACCAATGAGTGTCGTGGTCTAGGAAAGGAGTCGCATTCAGACCCGTGTGTAAACTTGGCCCCAAGAAAAGTGACCAGGCAGTCTTATTATGATGATCTTTTCTGTTTGTAGCATGTTGCAATCTTAAACAGTTCTCAGAAGTTCTTATTTCATTTATGCTTACACACAACTGAGGGAGCTGGGTCTCTTCAGCCTGGAGAAGAGGAGACTCAGAGGGGATCTGTTGGCGACATGCAGGTATGTGAAGGGGTGTCACATGGAGATGGGCAGAGACCTGGTCTCCCCTGCAGAGGAAAGCAGGACGCGCTGCAACGGAGCAAAGCTCAGGGAGCCAAGGTTCCATTTGGATGCCAGGAAGCACTTCCTGATGGTTAGGACTTCCAGGGTGTGGAATGGGCTTCCACGAGAGGTTGTCGAGGCCCCATCTGTGAGGGTGGTCAAGGACAGGCTGGACATGCACATGGTGGGCATGTCGTAAGCAGAACCGGCTGGAGCCGGGGGGTCAGACTAGATGGCCCGGGAGGCCTGTTCTGACTCGCTCTGTCTCTATGTTTCTGTGTAAATTTCCCAGGGCCAATTGGTGAGCTTCAAATGGAGCAAGCATCTGAGTGATCAATGTGATGTCCACACTGTGTCACGGGAAGGGTTGATGCTGTCTCGGTCCAGTTCTTTGCAGGAGTCTCTGGTTGCACTATAGAGAAAGTCCCTTCATCTCAGATTGGATTTCCCCAACCTGGGGCCATCTAGATGTTTTCAGTTTCACATTTTACTGGCCCCAACCAGTGAGGCTAATGGCCAGGAATCTGGGAGTGTTTGCCCAAAACATCTCCCCTTGAGATCGGCAGCAGAGGCCCTTCTCCGGGAACCCTCCGTGAGAGAAATTAGGAGGGTAGGTACTCGGAGGAGGGCCTTCTCTGTGGTGGCGCCCAATCTATGGAATGCGCTCCCCAGAGAGGTCTGCCTGGCGCCGTCGTTATTTGTTTTTTGGTGCCAGGCCAAGATCTTTTTATTTAAACGTCATTTTAATTGTTAATATTATTTGCTTATTTTATCTGGCCAGGGCAACTTATTTTATATTGTTAATTTGTTTTATATTTTGAATGTATTATATTTTAATTTTATGTTGTGAGCCACCCCGAGGCTTCGGCGAATGGGGCGGCATAGGAATGTTTTAAATAAATAAATAAATAAATAAATAATCGGGAAGGCTCCCAGTTGGAGACAGCTACTTTAGATGGAAAGAGACGTGGGAGACCTCCCTAAGCCTCACCACGCAGGTCCCAGCAAACAGGAGCGCTGCAAAATTGGCTGTGAACTTCCCCAAGAATCCTGGGAAGCCTCCTCTATGAGATGATGGAAGCCGGTGGTGGTGGAAGAGAGCAGCCCAGGGTGTGTTGGGGCACATGGCATGTCTAACCGAGACACATGGAGCTTGCTTGCTGCTTAGGAGCTCGGTCCTCTGGTCTGTGCGGACAGGAGGGAATTTCCTAGAGCTCCCATAGAGGTAATGGAACTGTGCCTCTACGCTCAGGGGCAGTGGCTGAGCGTCGAGGCGGCGGCAGCAGCCGCTGGGTTTCCTGCAGGCAGACGGTTGGCCACTGTGCTCCCGGAGTGCTGGGCCACATGGACCTTTGCTCTGGTCCAGCACTGCTTGGCGGATGCTCCCAAGCATGCAGTAGGCATGATCTGCCTGCTACTTCTCCGGGAGTGTGGACATTCCTTATGGCCTGGGCATTCAAGCGGTCTCGTCACCCAGCTCTGAGCCAGGAAAGCTGTGCTGTCATTCATGGACTCACGGAAGGGCATAGTTGGGAGGGCCTGAGGGCCACCGGGTCCAGCCCCGTGCCCAGGGCAGGTCTCCAAGCGCCACCGTCCCTCTCAGAGGCACCCTGCGTGCCTCCGGTGTGGGAGAGCCCGCCACCTCCCTGGGCCACCGGTGCCAGTGCTGTCCTGCTCTAACGGTCAGCAGGGGCTTCCCAGCGTTCAGCTGGAGCCTGACTCGCTGCACCTTGCATCTGTTACTCCATGTCCTGCACTCTGGTATGACTGAGAAGGTATCTGGGGCTCGCGACGACCTTTCATGTGCTTGCAGAGTGCTCTCATATCATCTTCAGTCTTCTCTTCTTGAGGCTAAGCATGCCCGGTTCTTCCCATCTCTCCTCATAGGGCTTTCTTTCCAGGCTTAAGGAAATACTTAACTAGTGCAAAGCACTGAAAGGAGCCCTTTGTCGTGGGCATTCTGCTGTTTGCAAAATGAGCCAATGCTTTGTTTTCTTTCACCCGCCCAGGACTGTCTTCTAGTTGGCCTGCTCACATTAAACACACTCAGCAGTAGTAGGATCTTTAGAACTTGCACAAGAGACAGATAAAACACCCTGACGGTTGTGCTGTTGTTTTGTCTGTGTTAAAAAGAATGTTTCATAAAGGTTTTTGGATTTTTTAAAAAGAACAGCCTATATTGGATATTGAACTGAAACATTTTTGATATTATTAACTAAACCCGCTTCTAACTTTAATAATTCATGGATTGTTTCATGAATAAAAAAACAAATAAGTCTTTAGGAGAGAGATCTCTTTAAGAAAAAAACCCCAGGAATTTCCCATTTCTTTGTACAATAAATTCCTCTCGGCTGAATGCACATTTTTAAATTTATTTATGAAACGATGCCTGAATTATTAAAATAAAGCTAGATCAGTGCTTGACTTAATAATGTGACAAATTATTTCAGGCTGCATCTATGTGTCTTGCTGAGATACTTTTATACGTTCATAGTCTGAAAGTTTTAAAAACGAAAAATCACAGGCTTGTGCAAAGCATCAATAAGCTTTTACTTTCGAGGTAACGAAAGTGTGGGTGCGAACTCTGCCAGTGCGTGACAGTTGATGATAAGCTATAAACTATTGCACCAACATTCCTGACTTCTCTGCTCTGCAAAGGACATCCAATGGGGTAGAGAAGCTGCAAGATACTTTGACTCGTAAACCCATCATAATCACAACTGGCTCTCTCGCATTGTGCTGAAAATTAAACAGTACACTGACCTGTTACCTCTGAAAATGAGCAAAACCCTCCAGTCGATTCCTCTGTGACTCACTGGTGATTTCTCCGTGTCCCCAGCTCTGATGCTCTGCTCTGCACCTACAACGTGGAGCAGTCCAGAGAGCTTGCAATGACAAGAACGACTGTCCAGTTGTAGACTGCAAAAGCAATCGATGGAATGGGTGTATTTGACTGCTCTTTTTCTCCAGGGTCAATTCTGATCAATGAGAAAGGCCAGGCAATGACCTTTCTTAATTGCAAACTTCCCAGATAAGAAATGGGCAGTTTTATTTAAGAGATATGCAAAGACAATTAAATGGCAATAATGTGTTTCTCCTTTGGTTAGATGAGTCAAAGCTGTCCGTGTTTCTTCCTGTGGGGCTAGGAGAACACCTACTGGGAAGCTTCTAGGCATTAGAGTCTATGGCACAAGTGGCCAGGAAATTGAGTTAAGATGATGTACAAGGGAACGCCATGGTGTTAAGCCACTGGACCTGCTAAACCAGCCCTTCTGAGCTGGGATGGACAGAGACTTCACAGTCGTTCTCTCCCTGGAGTTAGGGAAAGCTTGGGGCTCCGAAGAAGAGGACCTGGATGTCACGTCTGAAGGTCTAGGGTGGATCGCCACATTCCCACTTGAAGGGTTTTAGGTTGATTCTTTAGGCCTCGGGGATTTTAGAAGGATCAAGGCTGATCAGGGAGCTTCTTTCAGAACTGAATGAGGCCAAGTGCCAACTGGAGTGGGGCCAACGGGTCAGAACAGGGCTTGGCAGCCGTGGGTCTCTGGTCGATCCACCTCACTGAGGTCTCCATCTCCCTGATTCAGCCCAGAAGAAAAAGGTGTCCAGTGTGGGAGAGACAGTGGCCATGGAAGGACTGGCCAGCAGACTGGAACACATGTAGTCAGAACGTGAGCCCTGCATCGTCCACACGCAGCCAGCATGTGTGATCAGCAGGCGGTCACCACGCTGTCCGTGCCATTCGGGAGCTGGCAGGGTGGTTTCGTAATAATGTTTGACAGCACGGCTTGTTGTTTCATGCAGATCCGGCCGGGTGGGTTGTTGCCAGGGGTACTGAGCCTCTCAGAATCCACTTTCGTCCTTGTGGGTTTTTGGGTGACTTATGACCTCTGTCAACAAGCAATTCTGGCCAAGACGCACTGCCAAGAACAATTATGCAAACCCCCCGGCATGTGACCAGCACATGCAGAAAACTACATGGCTTGATAATTGCCTGCCAAACAGAAGAACCTGGTCCCTGATTGGCAGCAGGTATCCAGGTGTTTTTCCTGCCCCACTTGGGAATGCTGGTGAGCGAACCTGTGACGTTTGGAATGGAAATTATGTGCTCCGCCACCTAGCCATGGCCCACCTACCTTGGGTCTGGGTCACAATCCTCCACCCCCAAGTAGCCTTCATGGAATGGGGGGAGGGGGAAATTAATTAGTGCATCAATTAATCTATCTTTGCAATTAACGTTACCCTACTTTTAAAACAAAGGTGCTTCTGTGAACAAATCACAGGAAGAGTTATGAGTTCTTGGACATATCCTTCTTCCAGAGTCAACCTAAAGCATCAGAGGGTTTACATGGATTCTTTTAAGGACATGATGCTCCCAGTCAGTTTTGCTTAGGATTATTCGTTTAGTCCATGGAAGGGACCCTGCCTCGCAGTAGCTTCTCTTTAGCTACATTGCCTGCTGCTTATGCATTGGCTAGACCTTTGGTCTATGTGGAGGGTCTTGCATCAATGGGTGGGGAAGTGGGCAAGAGCTGCCCAGGCGGGAAGTGTGTTGGGAACGAGGGTGAAGAAGTGATGACCCTGAAAAGAAGTTTCATGAATGGTGAATGTTTTGGAGGCACCAGGTCTTCCCTTGCCTGAGAGTTTTGCAATCTCGAACGCCTCTTGAATGCATATAAAACACGCTGTTTTTGGTTGATTACAGGAGACTGCAGACACGGCGGAGTTGCCAACATCAGCCAGCCCTATATGATCCAGCTGAACTGGAGGGGGTTTTCGTACAAGTCTGGTGCCTGGGGAAGATATTCGTCTCCCCTTGCCCCTGACCAGGAGCTCTACTGGGTTGCACCCCTGAATTCCGAAGGCAGATACTTGGAATATTATAGACTTTACAATTCTTATGATGATTTATTGCTCTTTAGACACGCAAAAGAATATCAGATTCAATATGGCGAAGGCAGTGGCACGGTTGCTTACAACAATTACTTGTATGTTAATTTCTATGGTAGCAGGGACATAGGCAAGATAGATCTGAGCAACAACAAAATCATTCTGCGGAAAGCTCTCCCAGGTGCTGTGTACAGCAATCGTTTCTCTTTTGCGGGTGTCCCATGGCAAGACATTACCTTTGCCGTGGATGAAAGCGGGTTGTGGGTCATCTACTCAACCGAAGCCAGCAATGGTAACATTGTGATCAGCCGGCTTAACGAAACAACCCTTGATGTGCTCAGCACGTGGGTGACCAAGCAATACCGGCCATCTGTGTCCGGGGCATTCATTGTGTGTGGGGTGTTGTACGCCACGAGGCCGGTCAATACTCGGAAAGAGGAGATCTTCTTCACTTACGACACAAACACCGAAAAGGAAGGCAGAAAGAGCATCATTGTGGACAAGATGCTGGAAACCCTGCAAAGCCTCAAGTACAGCCCGATCGACCAGAAATTGTATGTGTACAACGATGCTTACCTCCTCCAGTACCATCTGGTTTTGAGCGGACCCAGCTCCTAGCATGTGCCGGGCTCTTAGGGCAGTGCTCATGGGGCGCTGTGGCGAAGTGCCGTGCGAATCACACGGCTTGCACGCCTGTTCCACGGCTTGGCAGCATGCGCGTCTTGCCACGTCCCGCTATCACTTCTGTCCAGCCATAGGCCATTTTTAGTATTGTCCCTTCTGGGCTTTGGCTCATTAGCTGAACACGAGAGGCAGTTCCCGACGCCACGATTTCTTTCAGGGCAGTGGTGTAGCTGGCCAGCTTTTTCCTGATGCACCTCCTCACACCCTGCTAATCGCTTTAAGACTTGGGGTAATAAGAAAAGTGGAGCACTTTTAGGTTCCAGGAACAGGGTTACAGCTCTGCTTAACTCCCATCGAAAGCAAGGAGATCTGAAAGCTTAAGCATGGCTGGCCTGCGCTTATTCTGTCAGATCAATGGGCTGTCTGGACTGCACTCCAGCTGCTCAGTAGCACCCATGCAGCTTTCCCTGCTCTTCCTTCTTAAAAAAAAAAGGAAAAAAATGAGGCACACTTCTGTCTGTCTCTTCCACTCTCTCTTTTTCCCGCCTTGCTCTCTTTCCCGCCTCCCCCCTTAGCCTTGCTATTTCCCTTCTTTGCACCGCTGTCCTCACTATTCTCCTTCCTCCCCCGCGCTCTTTAGCTCACTTTGCACCCCACGGAAACCATTTGAGACTAGCCACATCTTCCACAGGAGCCATTTTGTGATGGTGCCCACCACAGTTTCTCAAATCCCCAGAGGTGCTTATGGCTCCTAAAAGGCTGGTGATCCTGGATCAGGTTTCTTTCTGATCTGGTGAGACCAAAATATTCATACAATTTTGGTTTTGACTTGGGAAAGGGGGAAATTGCATTCATTTGTGCTTTTGGGGTTTTAATATCTCGATTTTTTTTGAGAGGGGAGAAGGGTCAATAAATGCAAATTTCCTGTGCAGACATAAAAGTTCTCGTGTTAAGGAGGCCCCTCTCCTTTTGCATTTCCTCAGTTGTCAGACTTCGAGAATGTGCTGGTAGGAGTGTGGCTTTATTTCACCACGATCCGTGTGCTTCATAGAATGCCACTGCTTATGGCCCAAGCACGGCCAATTTGACTTCCCTCGGGCAAGCAAGGATGGTAAAAGCAAGTCTTTACGAGCCTTTTTCACAGTGATTCGGATACGATAAAAGGACAACACCCAGTCAAGGGTTGTTGTCGAACTGCAGGTTATTCTATTTTCATGAAAGTGTGTGATTGTGTTGTCTGTATCATCTACCCAAGAAGCCATGGTTTGCTGTTTGGCTGTAAAGAATGGGTTGTTCACCATTGTTTGTTAACATTGCTAGGTTTAGGCAAGAGGCTAGTCCACACTCCCTCCTCCCTTCCATTGCTCCTTCCATCACCCTTCCATTTGTCAGATATTTTCCAAATGCTGAATGTTTTTTTTTAAATCAAAACCCACTAGCGGATTCATATTAAAACGCAGAAGTTGTATCAGCTTGGGAAGTGTAAGCGCATTTGCATAAAATGTAATGCTTTGCATAATTCATGCTGAATGCTGTTTTTGTATTTACTTGGCTCTGAATGTGGGCTTTGGTGTTATAGAAAATGAATTGCTATACCACCGGTCAGGTTTTTCTTTCTCTCTATTGCAATAAACTCTTTTTAGAGAACTGAATTCTTTAGCTGGTGGAGTTGTTTTCTGACAGCTGGTCTGGGAAATAACAGGTAATTGTCTCAGCCAAATTTTGTTTGAAGCCTGACGTTTATGTACCTCTGGCCATCGCTGCTAAAGTCACTCCTGGGAGGGGCCAGGGACAGACGGATGGGAGCCATGCGCACGCAGTACAATCTGCTGGCTAATTTGATGACTCTGTTCCACCTGGATTCTGCACTGGCTTCTGGGGAAGGCCTGCCCAGTGGTCGCTTGAGGCTCCTTCTCTCCGTGCACTGGCCTGTTTATGCCTGAGCTACCTCTCTGCAGGCTGGAGGCAGAGGTCTGCACACTCCTCCATCCAGAAATGTCCTTCCACACCGAAAGAAGGCAGCAGAAGGAAGGTTAGTCTTCTGGAATGGAATAGCACAGTTTGACCTGGGTGGCCTCAGCGTGCCAGTCTGGGCAGCTGCGCCCCAGGTACAAGCCTAGGTCGCTCTCCACATGGGGAGGGGGATGGCAGGCTCCCGCTTGTAGCTGCTTATTGAAATCCAGCAGAATTAACCTGCAATTACTCTCACACCATTTGCTTCGTGCAGCTCTGGCTTTAAGTGGACTGTGGCTCTTCCAAACGCGACGGCTTGCGCAACGGAAGGACAAGGTAATGTCGGAGTGTTGCAAATGGGGCTCTGAAGAAGCACGTATTGCTCAGAGATGCTTCAGGGAAAGGTGGAATTCTCAAAGCTGGAGTGTTCACGTGGCTACGGAGGACAATTTTCTTTGTGCCTGCCCACACGCCCTTGCTGCACCTTCTGTGGCGGCATTTTTTGCCTTGTCCTGGTGGTTTTCGACCAACTGCTCGGCACCTGCGACCTGGCAACTGCGTGCAGAGTCACCCATATACATCTTGCCTTGTCCACCCGATGGCAGATGAAACGGGAAAGGAAATTGTCCGGGCGAGATTACGCCTACGTCATAAAGGTGCCCTTGCGCTCTTGCCAAGGGCCGACAAGGATGGTGATTTAAAGATGGCACAGTATTCGGGGACCAAAACAAGGACAAGTGACCCCAGCTGTGCTTTTGTGAGGCTCCCCTCCCTGGGGGGGGGGGGGGGAGCAAAACAGGGGAGCAGTCAGAGTGGGGAGGGGGAGGCAAGACGGTTCTGCCAGGGAGGACACTGGGGTGATGTGTCAAAGGTGGGGAGCGGGGAGCAGGGGAGGGCCACCCATGGTGAGCCTGTTGGACCAGCTCAGCAAACCTTGCCGCAAGACAGCCACAGGGCTGGGGAGGGAGCCCAGGTCCTTAGCTTATTTATTTATTTAAAACTTTTCTAGGCCATCTTGGGACAGTTTAACAATACAAAATGTAAAAAAAAATTAAAACACAGCATCCTAAAATTGCACTAATGATAAAACCCCAGTTAAAGCAGGCAAGACTTAAAGCATTGGGAAAATAAAAAGGCTTTGGTCTGGTGCCAAAAAGAATAAAGTGACGGCACCAGCGAGCCTCTTTGGGGAGCGAATTCCACAATTGGGGCACCACAGCAGAGAAGGTCCTTCTCCGGGGAGCCACCTCCTAATCTCCTTCAGCAGGTTTATCACCGCTCTTATTGGGCCACTACCCTCTTGGTTGGGTGGTCAAGTGTCCCCCCTTTTCTCCAGAGGACTGTCTTCTATACAAGGGCTGCCAAAGGACAGTTCGCTGTCTGAATTGCTCCTCGTGGGAAGGGCTACCCACGCCAAGTGGAGCTGAGGACAAGGGCCTGTACGAGCTCCTGCCCATCAGCAGGTCGTGGGGCAAACAGGTTGGCATTTGGCCATGCTGTCACAGCGTTCTGTCCTACAGTGAGATACAGGGATGTGTCAAAGCTCTGAGGAACCTCTTCCTGTGGCATTCCTGGCATTCCTCTCCTTTTTGGCCCTTGCCTAGAAAGTGAACTGAAAGGTATTCTGCAAACACTCGTGGAACAATCTTGCAGAAACAGCATCCTTCTCCCATGGCCTCTGCAGAGCACAAAAAGGGCCACTGTAAGGGATGTGGAAGAGAGATGCCGGTTTCTCAGCAACCACTCCATTCCTGCTCGATTCCTGGCTAGCATGTGCGAACTCCGGGTGCATTCGCCAGAAACTTGGACTTGCAGCTGCACGAAAGGGGACCCCAATCCAGGGAGCCAAGTCCAGGAATCCAACAGAGCTCTACTTCTGAAATGGATTCCTCACACATCTCTGGTGAGATGTACAGAATTTCTATTTAAATTATTATAATAATGTCTAAGTTGTCATCTGTATGCATAAATTAGCACATGACAATTTTCTGCCAATCACTTCCAATTATTTTGTCCTCTGTTTTGGTGATCTGTAAGAAACTAGGCAAAACAGAGGAAGCAAACTCACTTCAGCCTGTTAATTTGTACTGCATTTCTTTTGTTAACCAGCTTCAATTTTTCTGTTGGCTAAGGGAGCCAAGGAGACAAAAATCAACACAGGTGGACAATATCCAGTCGCATCCCTCTTGCTTGCCTGGCATGTGGTCTCGACCTTAGATGGACCATTTCTTCAGATTTGAGAGAACTAAGACACATTTCTGGCTTGGCTGGAATTCCCCAGGTGGCCTTGGACAGATTGTTTTTGTTTTCTCAATCTTCCATATGGAAATGATGGCGTGCATAATAAGGCAAGCTCTCAATCTTAGGGAAAGAGGCATATCTCCAGATCCACATAATTCTGTCCTTTTTTCAAAGCCAGTATGCAATATTCTCCTCAGCTTTACCAGCCTCCTTCCTCTTCTCATGTTTTCTCATCATTTCTTAAACCCGTGTATCGCTTAGCACACAATGGTGATCAGAACAGCACGTTTCCGATCAGTTTCTATCCTACATTCCAAGTGGCATCAGACAGAACCCCCAAAGTGCTGATCTTAAATCAAATAGTGAGCAATAGCAGAAGTGGGCCTTGAGTTTAAGCTCGGGTGTATTTGCGGTTTTGTGTGGATTTTTCTGTTTGCTGCTACGTGGGTAGAATGGAAAAGAATTCTTTGGACTACAGACAAACAATTTGCTTCCAGGCAACTGTGTCAACACTTGGTTGGAAATGCATTTTCAGTAGTTAAAGGCACATAATGTGATGCTTCGATTCTGTAAGTTCATCCTTAAATTTATAAGATGCGGGAACCCTTTTGCTTCTGCATATACAAAATGGATTTTTCTTATTTTTCAGGGCTGAAGTCCATCAGCCTTTTATGCAGTGCAATTTAGCAAAGATGTCTAGCGCAAGAGAAGAATCTCTGCACCCATTCCAGTGCAACAGGCTACAGCTAGTAAGAATCAATTTCACCTTTCTGTTTTGGAGGGCTTCTTTATGAAAAACTATGTTGCATGCTGTTGACTTGAAATAGCGACTTCCTCCTCCTCCTCCTCTTCTT